ACTGCAACTGTCATAAATATGAGTCAGTTGTCAAGTATCTGACTGTAAATCATGTCACCATGGAGATGTTGCAACACCCCTAAGTATGAAAAATCATCATAAGCCCCTTTTTTTCAGTGCTGCTGTAACTTTTAACGGTCACTAAATGAATAAGTAGAGGGCTACCTGTATGTAAATTGGGGGGGGGGGAATAAATCAATGCATGTGGGACAGACAGGGACAAAGGACCACAGGTGGCCCAGAGGCTGTAAAATGCCCAGGTCTGATCTAGACAAGCTATAATTTCTTCTCAGAGAAGCTCATTTTCAATGTAAGGGGAAAAAACAAGGTAAGTCAATGAAATCGTCTTTTTAAAAAATCATTCTAAATGTGATTTTATCTTGATCTACGCCAATGTTAGTCTCACTAAACAGTTCCATTACTTGCTGAAATGCATTTGACTTCTAGTGCAGCCGAAGTCTTGCTGGGGAAAAAAAAAAAGAGTTTTAAAATACTGGCCAGAAAACACCGTTTTTGGGCCAAAATTGTTCTGGAACGGGTTGGACCCCGGTCATTTCATATGGGATACTAGAGGAGAGATTTAAATTTAAACGTGGAGTACCTTGAGAAGTTCAAGCCCTGAGCGGATTGCTGTGTCAGGACTTACACCCTCCTCTTCGTCGTCGGCTGTCCCTTCTATTGATTTATTCATCAGCTTTACTAATGCACTAAAAGAAGACATTCCAAAATACACGTATGCTCAGTTACATGAAGAATGACTGCTTGTAGGTTTTATACATTCAATCTATTCCTTTCCCTCCCCAACTAATCCATTTATTTAGCAACCCCGACATTCTCACTTATGACCAACCGGCTCATTTTCACAATTCTCCAGAACAGGGATAGGAATCAGAGGTGGGAATTCAGGCGAACCGGTAGTTCTGCCGATCATTTGGCCCCGCCCACTTGCCCCTGCTCTAGTCTGTCTTTTACTTCTGTGTTTTGCAGCTCAGCTCAGGGGTGGCATTCAAATTTTTTAACAACCGGTTCTGCGAGTGTGGCTAGGTGGGCGTGACCATGTGACTGGGTGGGTGTGGCTTTTTTTGCAGCCCCCCCCCCCCCAGGCCCCCTGCGGGGGGGGGGGGGGCATTTTTGCTCCCAGAAGGCTTCCCTGGGGCCCAGGAAGGCAAAAAATGGAGCGCAGGGGGGGCACAGCCCTCCCACACAGCCCTTTTTAGCTCCTGGGTCTGAGGGAAGCCTCCTGGGTGAAGCAGTAAGACAGCGAGGGGATCCCAAACCCCAAAAACTTTACCCTTAGACTGTCTACTGTTGACCTCACCCCTTTCCTAAGAGGTCTGTAGGGGGCGTGCATAAGTGCACCAACGTGCCTACCTAGTGTTTCTTTTAACGTCCTAGTGTTTCTTTTATTTTTTGTTTTATTTTTCTTTAATGTATCCATGTATTCATAACTATGTTTTTACTTATATCTATTATCTTGTAAGCCAGGGGTCTCCAACCACCGGGTCGCGGACCGGTACCGGTCCGTGGAACATTTCCTACCGGGCCGCCGGTTTGCTGGGTGCCGCCATCTTGTTTGACAAGAAAATGCTTCCGGGTGACCTTTTCCAGTTGGAAAGCGGCGTTTGGGTCCTGAAGGAATCCTCGCGTCTTAGTTTCAT